CCTCTTAGAGTGCTTCCCTTTTCTCCATCTTGTCGGCGTTCTCCACTTTTGCCTCTTAGAGTGCTTCCCTTTTCTCCATCCTGTCGGCGTTCTCCACTTTTGCCTCTAAGAGTGCTTCCCTTTTCTCCATCTTGTCGGCGTTCTCCACTTTTGCCTCTTAGAGTGCTTCTCTTTTCTCCATCTTGTCGGTATTCTTCACTTTCGTCTCTTTCTTCGCTATTTTTTTCGTTTTCTGTATGTTTTGAATTAATAAATACGTATAATTTAATTGTAAGGTTTCGTTGTAATTAACTAGCCGTTTCCGGTTGGTAAACTATGGAGAGTGGATTATGTCGTAGCGACACGACCTTCAGTGGCGAAACACAAACTTATGAAATCTCACTTTCTGGAAAATAAAGTAATACTTCTCTTTATTGAACATCTAACCTCTTTTCCTTCCACTGAAACAATACATTGGATAGATAACTAGGTGGATGGATGGATAACTAGGTTGATGAATGGATAACTATGGGGATGGATGGATAACTAGGCGGATGGATGGATAACTAGGTGGATCGATGGATAACTAGGTGGATGGATGGATAACTAGGTGGATGGATGGATAATTAGGTGGATGGATGGATAACTAGGTGGATGGATAATAATAATATGCCTTTATTTAATCACGGTTACTCTATCAACTACACAAGTTAAAAACTGAAAGGAATGGTCTCCCTAGAGGCCGTAAGAGTATATAAAACAATATAAAACGAAGTTAAAAGCTACAGTATTCACCATTAATCAATGATAATAAGAGACATTTACAAGAAAGGTTTAGTTCTTAATTAATCTGTTGTCGATGCAGAAAAATGAATTTTTACTTTTTTCTTGAATCTGGAAATAGATTGTTCTCCTTTTATTGAATCTGGAAGAGAGTTCCATAATTTAGCTCCGGAAAAAGGAAAACTATTTTTGTAATGTTCACTACGCACTTTTGGTATCAGCAGATTATAATTGGAATTACGTAGTTGATATGATGCTGATGCAAATTGTTTTGCAAACATATCATCTAAGTAAGAAGGAGCTAGACCATAATTGATCTTAAACATCATGATCGCTTTTTGCACTTTCTTTTTTCATCTAGAGTTGACCACTTGAGTTCTTTAAATACTTAGATAGTCCTTACTAAACGATAATCAGCACCCGTAATTATACGGGCAGCACGATTTTGTAATTTTTGTAATTTCTGTGCAAGCGCAATGCCATCCCAAATTAAGCTACAACAGTTGAAGTATGGATCAACAATTGCCATATATACTTTGACAAGGCAATGTCGATCCAACATTGACTTCGTTTTTTTTATTCTGCTAAGGTTTGATGAAATTTTTTTACTAATGTAGTCAACATGCGATTTTCAGGAAAGGTTTTCGTCAATTAGCACACCAATATACTTTGTTTCATTAGTTTTTTTAACAGCGAGTCGTTTACAGACAAATCGAGAGGAATGTCTTTAGGACAAGAAACTTTTTGTCTTGAAGCAATCAACATGAACTCAGACTTAAGAACATTTAATGTGAGCTTATTAGTTCGAAGCCATAATGAAATCTGGTCTAAGTCAGTATTATGGATAATTAGGTGGATGGATAGACAAATAGGTGGATGGATGGATAACTAGGTGGATGGATGGATGGATGAATGGATATAGCGCGGGATAGCAACAACAATAAGAAATAATTTTCAAAAAATACGATGAAAAGAATAGATGGATGGATGGATAAATAAATAAATAAATGAAAAAATCAATTTATTACGGTTTTTCACCTACCAAGCATTTCTTGTAATACAGTTTTGATTTCTAAATATCAAAATTTAAAACAATAATTAAAAAGATTTTTACAGTTACAGGGGTTTCAATAGGCATATTGCGGAATCGAGAGATATTCCGTTGCGATAAAATAGGATCTTGGTGTATGGCTGGCAGTCCAAGTTTTTCTACGACGTTGTCGGAAAATTCTAAGATGTCAAGGGAAAGGCATGGCAACGCCTTGATTGACGTAAAGAGGTAGTTATAAAAAATCCAACGAACCGCATAAAAGTAGAGACTGGAAGAAAAAACCAAGGGGAAAAAAAGAACGAACAAAAATGAAAAAAGAACATAACGATAATAGCATAAAAAGCAACAACAAAGAATAATTCAATAATTCTACCTATCTATTTTGTAAGTGGTTCTTATTGTTTATATTTTATCACCAAGTCATAATGCAGGAATGACACCGACCTTCTTCTGTTTCTGCTTCTGCTATGGCTTCTGCTAATCTGACCGATTCTTTTGCGGGAACTGAAAGTAATAATATTAAGAAGAGAGGATTAGAGGCTCGAATTTTTCTATGCATACGGCGTAACACCTGCAAACCGAACAAACTCCTTTAGACAAAACAAACAGACACGAGCGATTGATTATGAGCGATTGATTATGCTCATAATAGTTGAAATGGGTCCGCTATCTTGGTGTTGCATTAAGGGACAAACATGGCAGACAAATCACGAAGGTTAAAAATCATGTTTATATTACAGCCACTTCAACTTTTGAATAACAATAATCATCAAAATAAAGTTGACAACCATCTGCTTAGTTAGAAACGTATTATTTCAAAATTTCCTATTCCTAATGCATGGAAATTGCGTGACATAATTGCATGACAGAATTTGACTCGCAATAAATTTAAAATCAAACATCGATAATACAGAATTTTTTTGTTAAAGTTTTTTTATAATGTTATCAACATAATATTCGACAAACAGTTTTGTTTTAGTTTTTTGATGACGTCACTTGAAAGCCAGAAATTTCATTATTTCTACGGTACCTTCTTTCAGTTTCCTTGCAGCAGGTTCTAAAAACAAAAATAATGAAATAAAACTGCGTTGAATTGTTATAACAGGAAATTCTTATAGCATATAAGTAAAGAAGCCCTGGTTATGGTACGTGTGCACATACCATTAGGGGCGTAGCGATAGTAGGGGGTATAGGGGAGATGACTGCCACTCCCAAAAAAATCGTACATTTTCCTCTTTATTTTTTTGTTGGACTACCTGGGGATTTGGTAGAAAGTTTTGTGAAAAAACGTGTGCTCGAGTCTCCAGCACTGGTACTCTTGTTACATAGTAACATACTTAGTCGACATACAATGACATTATAAAGAAACAACTAGCAAATATAAAATAGTATCTGGTACTACAAAGTAGAGGAAAGTAAAAGTCATTTAAGAAAGCAAACTGAAGTTGTTTATCTAATGTCTTGTACTTATAACTTAAGCATTTTTATTGAAGGTAGGAGTGGAAACTCTACTAGGTTGGTAATCGTGTGATACCTGTATAATAGGGCATACCTTCTTAATCTAATAAACTTTCTTACCTGAAAATGCACCTTCCACAATCAGCAAACTGACAAAAAAGAACAGAAGCTGCATGTTGCAGAAATAATATGCACCTGAAAGAGAAACGATGATCAAGAATAAAGTTGTCGTCGATGGCTGAAAATAAAGCCTAGGATTTCCTCCATAAACCAAATTGCTGCTTACCTAACTCGACGTACGGTTGTCTGTTTGTAAATGGTTCTGTGCTACTTATTATCATCTTAAATAAATTTGGATAACAATAGCTTCGTATTTAAATTGTAATCAAAGTTTGTTAAACCATTTCACTGTAAGAGTTCTGCCATAATCGAATTGCGGAACAATGGATGGCCGATAAGGGTAGGCCAGCTGTTTGGTCTAACACAAGAATTCTAGATCAATCTGAAACTAATCAGAGGCTTGAAAATTTGTAGGGTGTGTTAAATTTAAAAAAACGTACAAAGGATTTAAGATAAACAGACCCAACTAAAGGGATTTTCTATGCAGATTTGATTACGTGGCATACCTGTAATCAGAAAACATTGTTCTTCCCACACATTTGGAATATGATTCGTAAATAATAAAAACTCGAGGGTTTTGTCAGTTTACAATCAAAATTGAAGTGTGGCGAAAATTTAATTATAAATCAGCATATTCCTATCAATAGCTATTTGGAAATTAAATTACTTAAGCAAAATAAGGTAGCCCCCCATTTATTCAATTGTTTTTTGTAACAATCCTACCACGTCCTAAGATTTTCTGTTGTACAGGTTAAGGCAACGGGTCAGCACCTCATTGGTTGTCGAAATAGTAAAAACATACGAGTCAACAACCACCCACGGGAATAAGCTAAAGTAGTAATTTGATCAAGAGGGAGTAAGGAAATTGATGTGAAAACAAATCACGTTTATTAAATTTTAAATTTGGTCCCAAACAATCTACAGTAAGAAAACCATCATTAGTATTTCGCAATTTCACCACTCGTAAGAATTTCGCATCACAACTGCATAATCATATAACAGGATAGTTTATTCAAGGTGCAATTGTTTGCGCGTTGCGAAATAGTGGGGCATGCAGAAATGGTTGATGCCTTCATGATTCTTGGCATTTTCACGATTACACGGAGCAATTTTCTCTGCAACTTGTCTCGCAACGGCGCTGTGACACCAGTTGCATGGAGCATTGCAGGGTGTTACCTACAGCGCAATTTGAAAAATGCTGCGAGACAAGTTGCAGCTATTGTAGCGAAAAGTATAATTCGTTTCTCTTGCAATTTGTGTCACAACGCTGTTGCGAGACAAGTTACAGAGAAAATCCGTGTAATCGCGCCTTTCCTGAATTCTAAACTTGAAGCTCAGGGAGTTGTGAGGCCACTTACTAAAACTTTTACGTTTTAAGAGAGAATTCTTTTCGTATTCAAGAGGTGAGCGACAAAAACTATTTTCTTGAAGAAAGGCTAGCTGTTGCACAAGGCTAAAATCTTGTTATTCAGAAAGTTGTTTGGAAGTGGAGGTGACCGATGAAAGTGGAATCAAAGTGTTAACCCAGGGCAAACATTTTATTCGAAAATGAGAATTCGTTACCTTTTTACTTTTACTTTCATTTTTTCAATTTCCTCATGCAAATTGTAGCAAAACGATTGCCGGCAGATGCCATTTTGTTGCCGACTCAATATTCCGAGATTCAGATCGTACGATATTCACCTCCAATTAACCAATGAGCGCGCGCGTTCTTAGGAAGCACATAAGTTGGTATATGCTAAGTAGAAATATATGAAGCACTTACCTCTTACCTATTGGTATGTAAAGTTCACCCCCCAACGCCCCTCCCCATAAGCCAGTCCATAGTTTAAGAATCGTTTCAGTGTGCATGCGCTTTTATCCCGATTTTCCAACACCTTTTGTTTAATTGAGAACAAAAGAAGGTTTAGACAAAAGAAGGTGAGAGATTCGGGATAAAATCGCATGCACACTGAAAACGATTCTTAAACTAAGGCGCAGCATTCAAATCATTGCCTCTGTTGCAGCGAAGACTCTGAATAAGGTAAGAGATGCTTATATTTACGCTTAGAAAATGCTTATTTCGTAAGCATTAGTTTAGATAAACTCTTAAAAAGACTGAACTTAAAAAGTATAGTTCATGAGGTAATGCATGTACCAGTGTGCTTGCGATTTATCCCGAGTTTCCACCTTCTTTTGTTTAATTAAGAACAAAAGAAGGTTTCGACAAAAGGTGAGAAATTCGTGATAAAAGCGCATGCGCACTGAAAACGATTCTTAAACTATCAACTGGCTTATTGTCTCAACATCTCGTTGGAATTTAAATGGTCTTCATATTATGAGGCGCAGCATTCAAATTGTTGCCTCAGTTGCACTGCGAAGACTTCGAATAAATGAGGTAAGACTTTCTTTTATATTTACACGTAGAAAATACTTCTTTTCGTAAGCATTACTTTACATAAACTCTTAAAAAAGATTGAAATTAAAAAGTAAATAGAGGTAGTGGGGTATTTGTAGGTTTTTTTGATTCAAATTCTTTGATTTTGTAGTAACTTTCAGAAACAGCAGAAAATGAAGGCGTTTAAAATTCTTGGTTAAAACGATTCTTTTAAACTAGATAAAGAATCTAGTTTTTAGAAACTTTCTAGTTTAAAGCGCTACATTTTAGTTAGGTTTTGTGTCTCAAAATGTGTCGCGTGCGTGGTAAACAATTCATTCGAGTCTCCTACTTTACCAAACTGAACTCGGCTTTAACTAACCTAACATAACCATACATTTATTTAGTTCTACATTAATTTAGTTCCGTACATCTATTTAGTTCCGTACATTTATTTAGTTCCGTTGTACATTTATTTAGTTGTACATTTATTTATATAGTTCTACTTTTATTTAGTTCTACATTTATTTAGTTCTACATTTATTTAGTTCTACATTTATTTAGTTCTACATTTATTTAGTTCTACATTTATTTAGTTCTACATTTATCTAATAGTTCCATATATACATTTATTTAATAGTTCTATTTATTATATAGATATCGATGAAATACCAGGTTTTCTCTAGTGTCGAAAACTTGATATCTTTCACCAGTGGAAGATACCATATCTTTCACACGTGAAGATATCGCTGTTGACATAGTAACGTATTTTAATAAAGAATTTTTGAGCTTTTGTTTTATTTAAGTTTCATCGATATCTATTTAACAAACAGAACATTACATGGCCGCTTGGAGATACGAATTTCATCTTCTCGTGTTCAATTTAGTTATTTCACTCGTTCCCTGCGCTCACTCGTGAGATAAAATTCCGTCTCCGCGCGCCCATGTAATATCCTCTATATATACATTTATTTAATAGTTCCATATATACATTTATTTGATAGTTCCATATATACATTTATTTAATAGTTCCACACATTTATTTAATAGTTCCACACATTTATTTAGTTTCATACATTTATTTAGTTCTACATTTATTTAGTTCTACATTTATTTAGTTCTACATTTAATATTTAGTGCCATACATTTATTTAGTGCCATACATTTATTTAGTGCAATACATTTATTTAATTAGTGCCATACATTTATTTAGTGCCATACATTTATTTAGTGCCATACATTTATTTAGTGCCATACATCTATTTAGTGCCATACATTTATTTAGTGCCATACATTTATTTAGTGCTATACATTTATTTAGTGCCATACATTTACTTAGTGCCATACATTTATTTTCTTTCATTTCATTTCATTTTAGTTAGCATTTACCTCACATCAAATCATAGTTTAAAAAAATGAAAAATATAAACAAATTACAAGCAGATGAGAGGTAAGGGATGTAGAAGGCACAAATGTAAAAACTGGATCCAAATGTAATA